TTCCGAGAAATGATGGCTTGTGCCGAGCCGCGGTGGAGAGTGCAAGCCGGCATTTCTTCGCCAAAAAGGCAGTGCCAGCCCTGCATTTCACATGTAGAAGAGATGGTGGGCCAGTCTTTGAGCATGTCGGTCTCTGCCAAAGTGCACGGCAGCGCCGACGTGTGGAGCTGTAACTACGGTCAGGGACAGTACATGTCATTTACGGCCCACTGGGTGAACGTGGTGCCGGCACAGCCGCACCAGCAACTTGGACAGGTCATGCCGCTTTTTCCTCCACGTTTGCACGTCCTTGGTCCAGCAAAGATGTCCGCCTCTACCACCTCTTTTTCCGCCGTGTCCTCAGCCGCCACCCCCGTGCCAAGTCCCATTACCCCGACCGGCATATCACATGTGCAGGGCGCAACGGTGTCACGCTGTGCTGCACCTGGTATGCCTTGGCGAACGGTGACACACAGGGGAGGAACTTCTGAGTGTAATGAACAGAGGAAATCGACAGATGGCTGTCTCCGCGCAAACTGAAAATCGGAACCATGTTGACCGACAACGGAAAGAACATGGTGTCTGCTCTGCGTCAAGGAAGGTTGTGCCATGCGCCATGCATGGCTCACGTGTTCAATCTGGTTGTCAAGCGGTTCCTAAAATCCACCATCCCACTGCAAGACATCCTTAAAATGTCACGTAAACTTTGCATGCATTTCAGCCATTCCTACACCGCAAAGCACACCCTCCTTGAGCTGCAGCGGCAGGCAGAACGGAATTCCACAGCATCGCCTGATCTGCGACGTTGCAACAAGGTGGAATTCAACCCTACATATGTTAGACCACCTTTACGAACAGCGAAAGGCCATCACCGATTTCCTGATGTTACAAGCGGATAAAGGTACTCCCCTGTGTAACTTCGATGTCAGCCATTGGCAGCTCATGCGTGACACCTGCCGCTTGCTCAGGCCCTTTGAGGAGGCCACGCTATTCGTGAGTCGGCAGGACTATGGGATGAACGACGTCATTCCTCTGTTGCACGTCCTGGAACAAATGCTGTTAACAATGGCTGGTCAGGGTGCGGTAGACGTGGCGCACAGATCTCAACGCCACATGACCCCTGTGGGGGCAGGACAGGAAGAAGAGGAGGAGGTAGAGGAGGACATTGGTGCTCAGGAATTATTGAGTGAAATGGGTGGTTTTTCCACTCAGCGGACAGGAGTGGAGGAGCAGGAGCATCTGGTAGAGGAGGAGGAGGAGACAGAGGACCCAGACGCACCGTGGCAGTATGCTGTGGAGATGGAGGCAGGGAGTCCCTCGCATTCCTTGGCACAAATGGCCCATAGCATGCTCGGTTTGCTTGCGTAGCGACAGCCGAATAATAACCATCAGACAGAGGGATGACTTTTGGCTGTCCACCTTGTTGGACCCTCGCTACCGTTCAAAAAATGGTGGCCTTTTTCACACCCCTGCTGAGTGGGAGGCCAAAATAAAGTACTATAAAAACCCACCTATGTAGTCAGTTGGTCTCTGCCTTTCTGCGCCAACGTCCATCCTCAGACACTGTGGGCCCTGTGCGCTCGCGTTCCGCTGCCATGGCAGCAGGGGAGGGGTGGTAGGAGCAGTGGCAGCTCCACCAGCAGCGGCTGCCTCAGTCTGCAGTCGATGATGATTAGCTTTCTTCACCAGCGCAGTGAGGAAACTACTAACCAGCCGCAGCAGCAGCAGCATCAGGTGGACCTGGAGCAGGACCTCAAACAACAGGCTTGGGCCTACCTGGACAGCACCCTGCCAACCGAGGTAGACAATCCCCTTGACTACTGGGCAACGAAACTTGACCTTTGGCCCCAACTAGCTGAATTTGCCCTTGAAAGGCTGTCATGCCCAGCCAGTAGCGTGGCATCGGAGCGCGTGTTTAGTGCGGCAGGAGGTATTGTAACTCCGCGGAGGACACGACTGTCCACCCAAAGTGTGGAGAGACTCACGTTTGTGAAAATGAATCAGGCGTGGATTAGTCTGGATTTCAAACCACCAGTTCCTGACACAACTGACTAAATCCGCCATGAATCATGCCCAAAACATGTTATTAGGGACAAATAGGCCGCTGTCTTTACACCTTTATAATTCCATGCAGTATATAGCCCTATCGGCCACTTTCTGGCATCCAGTTGCTGTAGCCCCATCACCACACTGTGCCACGGGCCCCTGTACGCCTTCTCATACTGCTGCCAGATCCATCCTCTGCCATGTGCGTCTTTGTCGTCTGCTCACGCTGCTGGGGTTCCAGTTTTAAACCTAGGCCTGTGTATGTCTTCCGAATACTGCTGCCTCCACCGCCACCCTGCGCCATGTGCCACTTTCAGGTCTCCTTACACTGTTGGTGGGTTCCATTTTGTGATAGGGTGCTGTATGGCCTTCCATTGCTGCTGCCTCCACCGCCACCCTGCGCCATGTGCCTCTGTCGTCTGCTCACGCTGCTGACGGCTTCCGCTTTTTAACCGAGGCCTGTGTTTGGCTTCCGAATACTGCTGCCTCCACCACCACCCTGCGCCATGTGCCTCTGTTGTCTGCTCACGCTGCTGACGGCTTCTGCTTTTTAACCGAGGGGACAGACTAAAACATTTAATGTGAAAATGGCTTAATGTAGCTTAATGTGTAATAAACTGTCTAAATCTTAATCAATTGACTTGAAACTTTGCACAGCCCAAGTTCTCAACGTCCCAAACATGTCCTAGAAGTTTCATAGATTTTCAGCCTTCCACAAAGAAAATGGGGCACATTAAGCTTGTTTTTTGGGGAGCTTAATGTAGCTTAATGGACAAAAAAGAGCTTAGATGTTGACCAATCTCCCCCAAACTTCACACATTAGAAGACCCTATCTATGGCAACATATTCTGAAAATTTCAGGTCATTTGGTAAATCACACCAAACGTTATTCACATTACGCTATATTTTACAGTGCTAAAACATTTAATGTGAAGAGCTTAATGTAAAAAGAGCTTAACGTACCATAATGTGCCTAAACCTCAATCAATTGACTTGAAACTTTGCACAGCCCAAGTTCTCAACGTCCCAAACATGTCCTAGAAGCTTCATAGATGTCAGCCTTCCACAAAGAAAATGGGGGACATTAAGCTTGTTTTTTGGGGGGCTTAATGTGGCTTAACGTACAAAAAAGAGCTTAGATGTTGACCAATTTCCCCCAAACTTCACACATTAGAAGACCCTATCTATGGCAACATATTCTGAAAATTTCTAGTCATTTGGTAAATCACACCAAAAGTTATTCACATTAAGCTATATTTTTACAGTGCTAAAACATTTAATGTGAACAGCTTAATGTAAAAAGAGCTTAACGTACCATAATGTGCCTAAACCTAATCAATTGACTTGAAATTTTGCACAGCCCAAGTTCTCAGCGTCCCAAACATGTCCTAGACGTTTCATAGATTTTGAACTTCCACAAAGAAAATGGGGGACATTAAGCTTGTTTTTTGGGGAGCTTAATGTAGCTTAACATACAAAAAGCAGCTTAGATGTTTACCAATCTCCCCCAAACTTCACACAGTAGAAGACTCTATCTATGGCAACATATTCTGAAAATTTCAGGTCATTTGGTAAATCACACCAAAAGTTATTCACATTAAGCTATATTTTACAGTGCTAAAACATTTAATGTGAACCACTTAATGTAAAAAGAGCTTAACGTACCATAATGTGCCTAAACCAAAATCAATTGACTTGAAACTTTGCACAGCCCAAGTTCTCAACTTACCAAACATGTCCTAGAAGCTTCATAGATGTCAGCCTTCCACAAAGAAAATGGGGGACATTAAGCTTGTTTTTTTGGGGAGCTTAATGTGGCTTAACGTACAAAAAAGAGCTTAGATGTTTACCAATCTCTCCCAAACTTCACACAGTAGAAGACTCAATCTATGGCAACATATTCTGAAAATTTCAGGTCATTTGGTAAATCGCACCTAACGTTATTCACATTAAGCTATATTTTACAGTGCTAAAACATTTAATGTGAACAGCTTAATGTAAAATGAGCTTAACGTACCATAATGTGCCTAAACCAAAATCAATTGACATGAAACTTTGCACAGCCCAAGTTCTCAGCGTCCCAAACATGTCCTAGAAGTTTCATAGAGTTTGAACTTCCACAAAGAAAATGGGGGACATTAAGCTTGTTTTTTGGGGAGCTTAATGTAGCTTAACGTACAAAAAAAGCTTAGATGTTTACCAATTTCCCCTAAACTTCACACATTAGAACACCCTATCTATGGCAACATATTCTGAAAATTTCAGGTCATTTGGTAAATCACACCAAAAGTTATTCACATTACGCTATATTTTTACAGTGCTAAAACATTTAAACCGTATTTGCCGGCGTATAAGACGACTGGGCGTAAAAAACGACCCCCTACTTTTCCTGTTAAAATATAGGGTTTGAGCTATACTCGCCGTATAAGACTACCCCTCTTCCAACGCACACCAAATAAAAATGAAAAAAACACCAGATTTGATTTCAATATGGTATGGTATTTCAGTATGGTATTCCAATGATGGGCTGCTATTCCTCCCACTGAGACCAATGATGGGGCATGATTCCTCCCACTGATACCAATGATGAGGCACTACTCCTCCCACTGACACCAATGATGGGGCACTATTCCTCCCACTGATACCAATGATGAGGCACTACTCCTCCCATTGACACTAATGATGGGGCACTATTTCATCCACTGACACCAATGATGGGGTACTATTCCTCCCACTGATACCAATGATGGGGCACTATTCCTCCCACTGACACCAATGATGGGGCACTATTCTTCCCACTGACACCAATGATGGGGCACTATTCCTCCCACTGATACCAATGATGGGGCGCTATTCCTCCCACTGATACCAATGATGGGACACTATTCCTCCCACTGACACCAATGATGGAGCCCCATCATTAGTGTCAGTGTGTGAGGAATAGTGTCCCATCATTAGTGTCAGTGGGAGGAATAGTGCCCCATCATTGGTCAGTGGGAGGAATAGTGCCCCATCATTGGTGTCAGTGGGAAGAATCGTGCCCCATCATTGGTGTCAGTGGGAGGAATAGTGCTCCATCATTAGTGTCAGTGGGAGGAATAGCACCCCATCATTGGTGTCAGCGGGAGGAATAGCAGCCCATCATTGGTATCAGTGGCAGGAATTGTGCCCCATCATTGGTGTCAGTGGGAGGAATAGTGCCCCATCATTGGTATCAGTGGAAGGAATAGTGCCCCATCGTTGGTGTCAGTGGGGAGGAGGAATAGTGCCCCATGGTTGGTGTCAATGGGGGAGGAATAGTGCCCCATCATTGGTGTCAGTGGGGATAATAGTGCCCCATCATTGGTATCAGTGGGGAGAAAAGTGCCCCATCATTGGTGTCAGTGGAGGAGGAATAGTGCCCCATTGTTGGTGTCAGTGGGGAGGAGGAATAGTGCCCCATCGTTGGTGTCAGTGGGGAGGAGGAATAGTGCCCCATGGTTGGTGTCAGTGGGGGAGGAATAGTGCCCCATCGTTGGTGTCAGTGGGGGAGGAATAGTGCCCCATCATTGGTATCAGTGGGGAGAAAAGTGCCCCATCATTGGTGTCAGTGGGGGAGGAATAGTGCCCCATCGTTGGTGTCAGTGGGGAGGAGGAATAGTGCCCCATCGTTGGTGTCAGTGGGGGAGGAACAGTGCCTCATCGTTGGTGTCAGTGTGGAGGAGGAATAGTGCCCCATCGTTAGTGTCAGTGGGGGAGAGGAGCGGCTGCTCCTTCTTTCAGTTCGGCCGCTTGATTTTCGCGGGGCTGTTCGGCTCCGCCTACTCACTGGTGATTGGTCGCTTGTGTGCCTTTCCAGTGCTGGCGCCCAATTACCGGTGAGGAGGCGGAGCCGAGCGGGCGGTGGGACCATCGAGCAGCCGAACTGAAAGAAGGAGCAGCCGCACTTCCTGTACTGGATCGCCGTGGGACTGGGACCGAAGCCAGGTAAGGTACAGCAGCCCCCTCTGCCCACCCCTGTACTTGGTGTCCATTGGAGGAGGAGGGGGGGCGGCACCGCCCCTCAAAAAAGTGCCGCCCTGACACCGGCTCGCCGTATACCGGTGTATAAGACGACCCCCGACTTTTCAAAAGATTTTCACGGGTTGAAAAGTCGTCTTATAGGCCGGCAAATACGGTAATGTGAAGAGCTTAATGTAAAAAGAGCTTAACGTACAATAATGTGCCTAAACCTCAATCAATTGACTTGACACTTTGCACAGCCCAAGTTCACAACGTCCCAAACATGTCCTAGAAGTGTCATAGATTTCAGCCTTCCACAAAGAAAATGGGGGACATTAAGCTTGTTTTTTGGGGAGCTTAATGTAGCTTAACATACAAAAAAGAGCTTAGATGTTGATCAATCTTCCCCCAAACTTCACACAGTAGAAGACCCTATCTATGGCAACAAATTCTGAAAATCGACCTCAATCAATTGACTTGAAACTTTGCACATCCCAAGTTCTCAACTTCCCAAACATTTCTTAGAAGTTTCATAGATTTTGAACTTCCACAAAGCAAGTGAGTGACATTAAACTTGTGTAGACCCTACCACCTTGTGTAGTGGCCGTAGCGTGGGACAGCCAATGGGGGAATATCATGAGTGTGTGTTTGTAGCTCACCAGCTAATCACTGGGGATTTCTGGCTTGTGGTGCATGCTTGGGAAGTGCATTCTTCCAAGTTCCAAATACCAGTCAATATTGGCACAAAACCTTTAGGCTTCTGCTAGAAAGCTGAACATGAAGAGGAACTTCATCTTTCAGCATGACAACGACCCAAGCATACATCCAAATCAACAAAGGAATGGCTTCACCAGAAGATGATTAAAGTTTTAGAATGGGCCAGCCAGAACCCAGACCTGAATCTGATTGAAAATCTGTGGGGTGATCTGAAGAGGGCTGTGCACAGGAGATGCCTTCGCAATCTGACAGAGTTGAAGAGTTTTTGCAAGGAAGAGTGGGCAAATATTGCAAAGTCAAGATGTGCCATGCTGATAGACTCATACCCAAAAAGACTGAGTGATGTAATAACATGAAAAGGTGCTTCAACAAAGTATTAGTTTAAGTGGGTGCACGCTTATGCAACCATATTATTTTAGTCTTTTATTTTTACTTCCCTCCACCAAAACGATTTCAATATGTTTTTCAACTGAGTTGTACAGTTTATAGGTCACATTAAAGGTAGAAATTTTTCTGAAAATTATTTTTCTTTGTCTCATTTTCTTACATCACAGAAACCTGACTTTTTAATAGTGGTATGTCAACTTTTTATATCCACTGTATATATTCATGAGAATTGCTATGTGCTCAATCTTAGTACAGTCTACCTCCAGGCTTGGCCTGGGGAGGTAATGCTTATGTGCGGGAAAGGTTTGACTAGGCCTCAAGCCTAGAAGGGGCCTCACATGCTGATTGAGGAGGAGAAAGAGAGAAGCTGGATGGCTACTGGAGGTACCTGGTACTAGAATGGACCTAAGGGGCAAGTCTGTCTGACCTATTGAAGATCACATGACTATCCATATTTAGCTGTTCCTCTAATAACCAGTGCCGGCTTGTGCTCCTATTGATTCTGCACTGTGAAATACTGAAAGGGTCTGGTGAGTCTGAAGTTCTTTTCTAATATAGTTTTGACATGAATGTTCTAAACCCTATGTCCTATCTCCCAGTTATGAAGTTCCCCAATAAAGAATTCAAAGATGTACTTAAACTGACTGGTGCCTAACTTTTCTTTGATCGCACATCCCTTCACAGGCCTAGGATCTGCACGAAAACAAGATGTCAGCCTTCCCTGCCTTTGAGGGTCCACGCTACGCCTCTGGGGGTCAGGGGGTGCTGTACTATTTAGGGGAACTAATTGTGGCTTAAAGTACAAAAGAGAGCTTGGATGTTATGTACAGCGCTGAGCAAACCCTTTCGCTATATAAACTCGTAGTAATAATAATAAAATAATAATATTTCCTCAAAATGTATACAATAGAAGACTCTATCTATGCCAACATATTATAAAAATCTCAGGTTGTTTGGTAAAACAGACTAAAGATTATTAACATTTAAAGGAGAACTCTGGGCAAAATCTTTTTTTACATGTTCTTGTTGCTTATCTCCTGCCTTCCCTGAATATGTAATCAATATTCTTGTTATCTGAGTAGTTGTTCTAGTAAGACAGATCACTGCTATGCCACCTATTCCCACAGACACTGGTCTTGGTATATCCCATCTGTAGTTCTGTTCTCCAGCAAGCAGGGATGTATTTCCATCCCTGCTTGTTGCAGTGGGCGGACCAGGATACACAGACCGCCGGTCTGTACCGTCCATGGAGGTGGTGTCCTAGGAATGACAGCCCCCTGGGCTTGCTCTGAAGGCTGCATCCAAGGGAGTCTGTAACCCTTGCTGCCTGCACATTGGGGTAGCATAACAACTGGCTCAAAATCCTCTGTTTGCTGTACCATCCAAAGACCAGCTTTCGGAAGACCAGCTTTCTGGTTCTGGTAGCCACTGCCCAATGTCCCCCAGTGAAATCACTGGTTGCTAGGACCGCCTGGTATCTAGCAACCAGTGATGTATATGCAAAGCCACAGAATTCACAGCCAGGAGGCTCCAACTTTATTCTATTGAGCTGCTCCACCTCCTCCATTGTCTGCCCTGCTTACCATGACTATGGAAGAGTCTGAGAGCTGTGAGTGATCAGGGGAGCCAGGAATAGAGAGACAGAGGCATTCTGTGCTGGAGGAACAAGAGAGTGTAACTAGAGATGGGTGGGGGGGGGGGGGGGGCAGAGCAAGCAGCTGAACATCCTACACCGGCAGACCTGCAATATCCTCTGTGAAAATTCTGCCTCCTCTGCTGTTCTGCACCAACAGCTCTTCTCTGCCTTTACTGACAACTGAGAGTACTGGAAAGGCTGACAGGCTTTAGTGATCACTTTGCTTCGTCTCCTTGTGCTGTGAGCTGAGCAATTGGAGCCAGTCAAGCCTTGATATGTATTGGCATTGAGAGTCTCGTCCCCCCCCCCTTCTTTATCTCTCCCTCTCCCTCCTTCTCTGAATAACTTTTGGCATGTTTTATGAAACAACCTGAAATTTTCACAATTTGTTGGTACATGTAGAGCAGGCTTCACTAAATGGCGGACTGCGGTCTGTACACAGACCAAGTGATAGTTCAGTCCGGACCTCAGCCGTACCACCTAGCAGCCTGAGCGGACTCATTTCCTCCCACCACTGCAGATGTTAAGGATTACTGTCCTGCAGAGGGTGGGAAAAATGGCAAGGTGGACGGGGACCTGGACCCCCCCATGTACCCACCCACCGCAGCAGAGCAGGCGGAAGGAATGGAAGGTCTACAGGGGGAGCAGCAGTTGCCCGACCCCTCCCCCTGAATACACTTGTCACCACTGAACCCACAGCAAGGAGGACCTAAATCCCCTCCCCCCCCACATTCACTCACCTGCCACCTTTGAAGTCACAGCAGAGTGGGTTGGAGGAAAGTAAGGTGTACAGGAGTATGCCCAACCTCTTCCCCCCCAATGCACTTGTCCACCACTGAACCCACAGTAAGGAGGAGGGCAGGAGGCACGGAGCCTAGTGGCAGCAGCAGGTGTGCGCACCCAGAAGAGGAGTCTAACTTGCCACTCTCCCAGCCCTCCACAACACTGAGTTAAGCTAGGGGGAGATTATGGGGGGGGGTCTGTGATGTCAGAGAGGGAGCTGTGATATGGGGGGCTGGGAAGTGAGAGGAGGGAGCTGTGAGGGGTGAGCTCTGATATGAGTGGCTGTGAGAGAGGGGAATTGTAATACTTGGGGAGCTGTGATGTGATAGGGAGAATCTGTGATATGGTGGCTGTGATATGGGGGGCTGTGATGTTATATAGGGGCTGTGATGTGAGAATGGGGAGCCGTGATATAAGGGGCTGTGATGAGAATGGGGGGGGGGGGGTGCTGTAATATATAAAGTTGTGTGAGAGTGGGGCAATAATGTGAGAGGGAGAAGCTGTGGTATGGGGGGCTGCGATGTGAGAAGGGGAAGCTGTGATGCGGGAGGGGGAGCTGTGATATGCCGGGCTGTGATGTGAGAAGGGGGAGCTGTGATGCGGGAGAGGGAGCTGTGATATGCCGGGCTGTGATGTGAGAAGGGGGAGCTGTGATGCGGGAGAGGGAGCTGTGATATGCCGGGCTGTGATGTGAGAAGGGGGAGCTGTGATGCGGGGAGGAGAGGGGCTGTGATATGCCGGGCTGTGATGTGAGAAGGGGGAGCTGTGATGCGGGAGAGGGAGCTGTGATATGCCGGGCTGTGATGTGAGAAGGGGGAGCTGTGATGCGGGAGAGGGAGCTGTGATATGCCGGGCTGTGATGTGAGAAGGGGGAGCTGTGATGCGGGAGAGGGAGCTGTGATATGCCGGCTGTGATGTGAGAAGGGGAAGCTGTGATGCGGGAGGGGGAGCTGTGATATGCCGGGCTGTGATGTGAGAAGGGGGAGCTTTGATGCGAGATGTGGAGCTGTGATATGGCGGACTATGATGTGAGAAGGGGGAGCTTTGATGCGAGATGTGGAGCTGTGATATGGCGGACTATGATGTGAGAAGGGGAGCTTTGATGCGGGAGGGGGAGCTGTGATATGGCGGGCTGTGATGTAAGATGGGGGAGCTGTATTATGGGTGGGCTGTGATGTGAAAGGGGGCTGTGATATGAAGGGTT